CCCCCCCCGCAAGCGCCGCGCGCCCGGGGCCGACGCTCCCCGCCAGCTCCCCGCCAGCCTTTCCCTGAGGTCCACAGAGCCTCATCCACCCACTTCTGTAATAGACTCATAACCTCTGATTGGGTTGTTGAAAGTTTTCAGATCACCTGGGTCAATCGGTCTTCAGCTAGCGTTAAGATTGCACCAATCACAACACATCCACCATTCTTCTTGCACTCTTGCCTTTCTTCTCCACGTTCGTCCAAAATGTTTAACAGTGTCATCTTCCCCATCTTCTTGGAGGCCGACTGGGTGGTCTTTTCTGTTCTCGTGGGTACCAGTCAGCAATAATTGCGGTCCACCTATTGTCCGTGAGCCGTGCTGTATGGCCTGCCCATCGCATTGCTATGTCTGTTTTCCACGATATTATCTTTCACACCGCTGCGTTCTCTGATCATTTCATTTGGAATACAATCCAGAAGGGAAATTCCCAACATAGCTCGCTCCATTGCCCTTTTGGCTACCAATAGTCACTGTTCTTCTCTCTTCGTCAGTGCCCACGTTTTGCTGCCATACAACATGGCTGGCAGCACTGTTGAATTGAAGATATTTGTATGTGTGGTCTTATCGATTTTTCCTTTGAGGATGTCCTTGATGGGATTGAATGCACACCATCCTGCCCGAATCCTTCGCGAGAGTTCTCTGTTCAGGTCTTGGCACATATTAACTTCTTGGCCCAAATATATGTACTGTTCCACTTCTTCGATTTCTTCTCCTGTTATCATTATTTGGGCTTTTCGTAAGATGTCTGATCGCATGTATTTCATTTTGCAGCGGTTCATTTTCAGACCGACCTGACTGCTTTTCTTGTCAAGTCTTCATAACCTGCTCTGCAATTGGTTGGTGCTTTCGGCAATTAATACTATGTAGTCCGCGAATCTGAGATGAGATAATCATTCTCCATTTATGTTGACACCACTCCTCCAATTGATCTTGTTCATAACCATTTTGAGGCAAGCAGTGAATAGTTTCGGTGAAATCTTATCTTCTTGCTTCACGCCTTTCTCGATTGGGATACGGAAGGGAGTTTCGAGGAGAGTAATATCTGTTGTACATCCAGTATTCGCTTCCTTCAACGAATTGATGTATTACGTGTTAATACCCTGCTCTGCAAGTGCCTTTAATATTGCGTTGAACTCGACGCTATCGAAGGCCTTTTCATAGTCGAAAATCAACTTCGGTCTAAGCAAGTGATGGTCACTGCCGATGTTTAAAGGCTGCACCACAGAGACGTCTTGAATGATGTGCCTTTTATTGACTAAAATATAGTCGATTTCATTCTTGTTCTTCGCATTTGGTGCGATCTATGTCCACCTTTTTGTGATCTTCTTTTTATACAAGGCGTTTGCTACGTATCATTCTTTCATTTCTGCCATTGCTACTAACCTTTCTCCTCTTTAATTCCTTTCGCCTCTGCCATATCTCCCTATGAACTTTTCATCAGCTTTCCCTTGTCCGACCTTGGTGTTAAAATCTCCCATCGTGACAGTGTAAGTGGACTTTTGTGCGAGGGCTCTTTTGAGCTCTCGGTAGAATTCTTCCACATCTTCATCCTCACTTGCACTTGTAGGGGTATAGGCCTGGATGACCTTGAGTGTAGCCTTTGACTCTATCTGAAGATGAAGCACACCAATACGTGATGCTTTTAGCTGGCATGATATAACTTTAAAGACCAGTCCTTACAATAAATTCAACTCCCCCTACGTTTCTAACACCGTCTTCCTTTCCAAGTTTCACAGTGCTTCTATCCTTCCAGTTGACTTCCAACTCCTTTCGTTGGATTTCAGAGACACCGAGGATGTCGCATCTTATCCTTTCCTTTTCCTCCATCAGATGGTTTAACGATTCCTCCCTCGCCAGCAACCTACAATTGTAAGTACATACAGCGAGCATTGTCCTTTTCCATGTTGGCCTAGCACCTGACATTTCTGTTGGTCTCTCATTGCTCAATTTCCACTCCGCCACTGTAGAATGGTTCGTTGACACTCAGGAGACTAAAACCCATTTACTCGTGTTGTTTTAGCCATTGACTTCAAGCCATCCCACTGGCTAGGTGGGCAGGTGTGCGTTCTTCCTCAAATTTAGCTAGCCTTCAAGCTCTAAGGATAGGGAAAAACTGAAAGAGCAATCCCCTCCCTGGATTGGATAGTCCAACACCTTTGTAGCATGGTTAGACCTATCAGGGCATATGCCTTGCTACCATAGCTGACAGACAGCCAGGGTCACCGCTGCACTACAATGAGGCGTTGAGGTAGGATTTTGTGGCGGGTTTTCAAATCATGATTTAAAAACTTCAAGTTACAGAGAATCTGCCATTTACTCTAGTTCCCAGTTTCGACTGGAATTATCTCCCCTGATGCATCCTGAGATTGTATTAGCCTTCTTCATGGCTCTATTATATTGACTCATAGTCATTCTGTGATCAACCACAGCAGAGGTGGGCAAAATATAGCCCGTAGTGTGGATACGGCCTACTCAGCTGATTAGGAGAACTTGTGGGCAGTGTGTGTTTAGCTGCCCATCCCTCCCACCTTGCTCCATCCTGCAACTAAGCTTCTCCCAGGACACTCCTATTTGCTGTGTGGAAGGCAGGAAGGAAGGGAGAGGGAGTGCAGAAGTCAGGGTGTTCCCCTGCCCTTATATCTGGTCGGGGAGAGGGACATATACAACAGAGCTGCTCCAGTCAAGTATGGTGAGTGACTGAGATCAGTGCTGGTCTTAAGAGGCAGTGCACTGTTTCTCACATTTGTCCAGCAGCCAGCTCGCTCTCTCACTACACACTTTTCCATCCCACTATACTCATCTCTACAGAGTGATGGAGGGGGGAGACAACAGAGCAGGACAGTTTTCTCTGTGTCAGAGACAGTGCATAGCATTTTCAGAAACTTACCCAGCAGCAACCAGCACATCCACCTATCCAGTCTGTGCCCCCACACACTCATACAATCTGTGTGTCAAACACTTTCTCACACAATCTCTCTCTCTCTAGCCCCCACCCCTTCTGCCCGAGGCCCTAGAGCCCAGAGCTGGCTCCTGATGATTTACTGAAATTCATGTAGTAAAACCCCTACAAAAATTATTGCCCACTCCTGCAAGATACTCAAGTGTTTCTGTTCCTCTGTTGCTTCCAAATAATACATTCAGGCTACATCTACACTACACGGTTTGCCAAAAGAGGCAATGCAAATGAACTGCTGATTAGCCTTTTCTAGTCCTTCATTTGCATAATCTTTTCTCATCTGTTTTCACGCTAAAACATGCAGCGTGGATGTGTCCGTTTTGCGCAAAAACCCTGTTTTGCACAATATCATTCATGCCTCTGCGGAAGGGGTTTTTGCGCAAAACAGACACATCTGCACTGCATGTTTTTGGGCAAAAACCTCTTGCGCGAAAACGGATTTGAAGAGATTATGCAAATGAAGTGTGAGGAAATGTTGATCAGTACTTCATTTGCATTGCCTCTTCTGGCAAAACGTGTAGCGTAGATGTAGCCTCACAGTTTAGAGCAAAAATTCTTGCTAATCTCTAAGTGCATGACTTTGCACTATTACATTTCATCCCATTATCTAGTACCCTGGTATTCAAGCAACAAATAGTAGTGTGGCACCTTATACACTAGCAAATATATAGGATCATGAGCTTTCGTGGGTAAAACCCACTTCATCAATGAGTTGGTGTGGTAATAATATAACCCAAGGTATATAAAACAACAAAAGCAGTTACCTGTGAATTGTAAGACCCATGTTAATGAAACTAATCGAGTAAGATGGACGTGTCTCATTTATAACTTTTGATGTGAAAATGTGAAAGTCAAAGACAGGGGAAAGTGTCTTTGCAGTGCTTTAACCAATGTTTTCACCTGGTTTTCAAGGTTGTCCAAACACCAAAAAAGTTTAATACAGCATTTAGGCAGGAAATCATAAAAACATTACTGTAATAATTGTAACCTATGATTGGTGCATCTAGTACAGTATTCTGTTTTCCACACTGATCAATACCAGATGCTTCACAGGTAATTCTAATCTCTGTAATGGACAGCTATGGAATACCTGACTACAAGGGAAGTTTCTTCCTAATCTACTATCCTTGTCATATCTCTTCTCTAAACAATTGTAATCTGAACATCTGACAACTTTCATGACCTGTTTCTAGACTCCTTCCGTTTCTTTTGCATCTTCTTTTATATGGGGTGATCAAAACTGAGCACCATTTTCCAAGTGGGGGCATACTGTTGATTGAGATAATGCCGTAGTAAATGATATTATGCAGACTGAACTTGGAGGTCATAGTTATTAATATTATTATTAACTTTTACCGCTCTTTTAGAAGCCAAAATCAGTGTAGTCTAAGATGAAAGAATTCCTAATATGGAACATGTAGACTAATGTTAACCAGCATTTTCAGTAAGTGAGGACCATTCTACAAGAAACAAATTGTGTGCAGGCCTCCTATACCATTTTGTAAGGAAAGGGGGAAAATCATTGGGTAATGATTGAAGATAGGCTTCTGCACAAGGTAATCTGGTTTGCATTATAGAATATGAATAAATATAAGTCCTATGATGAGTCTCTATGGAGGCAGTATAATGAAGGGTTTAAGTTTAAATCTGTAGTCTTAAATTTTCAGTTCAATTAACTTGTGTTCCCCTGCCTTTGCCTTCCCCCACCTAAATTTGTACTCTGTTTTCAGTCCTACTTGGCACACAGCTAATTCATCTGTTCTAGTGGTCGATCATTTAATATTTTATTTTCTGGAATTTCACTGATTTGGTGCATTGTTTCAAACTAAAAATTAAACCTTCTTTACATAAAAAGAACAGGTAGGTGGGATGAAATGGGAGTGTTGGGAGAATGTTACACCAACTAAAAAATTAAAATTTTCAGACAATAAGAATTAAATCTGAGATTCTAGAGCAGTGCTTTTCTTTTTTCCTTCCTAACCATTGGACACCATGAGAAGACCTACAAGGAACTAAAAACTGTTGAGTTCATAAATTTTCTCCTCTTTAGGAGGATGCTCGTGATTTGGATGCCTACACATTAGCTAAATCTTACTTCGATCTGAAGGAGTATGACAGGGCTGCATACTTTCTGCGGGGATGCAAGAGTCAGAAGGCCTACTTCTTGTATATGTATTCCAGATACCTGGTAAGATAATGAAAGCCATCCGCCTTCTGCCTTCCCATGGAGCCTTGCAGGTTACAGTCTTCCACTTATTGTCTTCCCAGCAACATTTTAGAAAGGCAGATTAATCCCTTGGTTCCTTGCTAAACCTTACAGAATTTTTGGTGGCATTGCTGGGAGCTAGTTCCAGATGCTGTTAGCAGAATTATACTGCAACCTGTGGAATAATGTATTGTAAAACTCTTTTTCCACTCCCCTTCTTTTTACAGTCAGGAGAAAAGAAGAAAGATGATGAAACCGTTGATAGTCTGGGTAAGGATCTGCTTCTCTCACCTGAAATAGAGAACCCAAGCTAATGAAAATAGACATGCCAGAATCATCTCTTATGCTAACCATGTTTGCATTGTGGCCTGACACACAATATGATTGGGCAGTATAGCTGTGCCTGCTGGGACTGTGCATGGTTTTATAATCCTAAAGGCATTGGCCACGGATTCTCAAGGCTGACCCATTCTTAAATAGTGTAGTTCACATTTAAAGAATGGGTTGATGAGGTGTCTTTCTAAAGGATATGATCTAGGAATTATTTTGGGGAAGTTCTACGGCCTGTGCTGTGCAGGAAACCTTAGAGACTATCGGTCCCAAACACCTGTGACTCTGAAAAAGATTAAAGATCATAATGGATAAGCAACTGCAATACTGTAGCAAAAAGAGCTAATGTGAGCCTTGGATTTTAATGGGAGTAGAGAGATGACTTTTTCCTCCTTTATACAATTTTAGTCAGATCAGTACTGGAAGACTATGTTCAGTTTTGGTGTCACCACTTTTAAATCCGTTAAGTTCATCAAAAACCTAGAGTGGGGACTTTAGTATATAAATAGTTATTTTTAATAATGAAGGTGATTAACCAAAGGGACAAACTACCAAAGGATATGATAGTTTCTCTATTACTTGAATGTCTTTAAATCAAGACTGGATATCTTTCTAAAAATACTTCTGCTTCCACCTAAAGTTATGGGCTTGATACAGGAATTATTGAGTTAACTTCTGTGGCCTGTTATGCATGAGATTACACTAGATGATTGCAATGGTCCTCTTCTGGTGTTTAAAATCTGGATCTCTAAACTGGTGAAGCCTTAAACCAATGAAGACATAGAAAGCACTGTGGCAGATGCTGAAAGTCACCTGTATACTTCTTTTTGCAGGCCCCTTGGAGAAAGGACAGGTGAAGAATGAAGCACTAAGAGAGTTAAGGGTGGAGCTTAGCAAGAAACACAAAGCACAGGAGCTGGATGGTTTTGGCCTTTATCTGTAAGTGTCTGGGAGTTTTCCTTTGAATTCTTCCCGGAGGATGGGGGATGCAGGACACTCTGAAGCACTCTGTGTTTTTCTGAAGAGACATAAGGAGGAAGTAGTCTCTTTGGGTACGTCTAAACTACATGGCTCCGTTGACGGAGCCATGTAGTTTTGTTTGTTCGGCAAAGGGAAATGAAGCCGCGATTTAAATAATCGCAGCTTCATTTAAATTTAAATGGCTGCCGCGCTGAGCCGACAAACAGCTAATCAGCTGTTTGTCAGCTCAGCGCTCTAGTCTGGATGCTCCCCTGTCGACATGAAAGCCCTTTATCGACCTCCCCGGTAAACCTCATCCTACGAGGCATAACGGGGAGGTCAATAAAGGGCTTTCATGTCAGCGCGGGAGCGTCCAGACTAGCGCGCTGAGCCGACAAACAGCTGATCAGCTGTTTGTTGGCTCAGCATGGCAGTTATTTAAATTTAAATGAAGCCGCGATTATTTAAATCGTGGCTTCATTTCCCTTTGCCGATCAGCCTAATCTACATGGCTCCATCGATGGAGCCGTGTATTTTAGACACACCCTTTCTGGAAAATTAGCAAACAGCCTGTTTGATGGCTGGTAATACGGCAGCAAAACACACACTATTCAAATAAAACATTAAAGGGAAAGGTATCCATGTTCATAGTTGTGTAAGATTTTTCATTGGAGTATAAATTTGAAGTTGGGGTTCATAATGCTTTTTGATATCTGGAAATGAAGGGAAATATCTTCTTGTGTGGAGTGGTATTATTGATAATGTTGTCCTTTCCATCTCGATATTAACAAGTCTTATTTCCACTGTCTTAAGATTTGGGGTCAATGGTGTGTCCTGTTGCAATAGTAACTGCCACTAAATTTAGTTTTTTATCTGCTAATTTCCTAACTCTGTGTGTGTGTGTGTGTGTAGTGTTTTATGTTTTCCACCATTTCATTGTACCTCTGTGCATAGCTGTCTAGATTCAAGGAGAAAGGAAGTTGCACCTGCTGGGGAGTATGGGAAAAACAACGCTACTTTGAACATGTTATCCCTGTTTAAAAATTGCTGTAACAAAATGATTTGGTTTAAATCACCAATTAGAAAGCCTTTAAACCATTGAATTAAATCAGCTCTTCCATTTGTTTGTCCTGTGTTCCCTATCTTTTAATCAATTACCCGTTCATGAGAGGACCTTCTCTCTTATCCCATAACAGCTTACTTTGCTTAAGAGTTGAAGGCTTTCTGAAAATCTAGATACATTATATCCACTGTATTGCCTTCTCCACTTGCATGTTGCCCCCTTCAAAGAATTCTAGTAGATTGGTGAGGCATGATTTCCCTTTACAAAAAACATGGTGACTCTTCCCCAACAAATTATGATAATCTATGTGTGATATAATTTTGTTCTTTACTATAGTTTTCAACCAGTTTGCTTGATGCTAAAGTCAGGCTTACCATCTTGTAATTGCTAGGGTTACTTCTAGAGCCCTTTTTAAAAGTTGGTGTCACATTAGCTTTCCAGTCATGTGATACAGAAGTTGATTTATATCATAGGTTACAAACTACAGTTAATAGTTTTGCAATTTCACATTTGAGTTCCTTCAGAACTCTTTAAAAAATACGGTCTGATCCTGCAAAAGCGGCGAGGAGTCCTGTGGCACCTTATAGACTAACTGAAGTGTTGGAGCATAAGCTTTCGTGGGCAAAGACCCACTTCGTCAGATGCATGTAGTGGAAATTTCCAGAGGCAGGTATAAATATACAGGCCAGAATCAGTCTGGAGATGACGAGATGGATCCAATCAGGGAGGATGAGGCCCACTTCTAGTGGCTGATCTGGAGGTGTGAATTCCAAGAGAGGAGAAGCTGCTTTTGTTGTTAGCGAGCCATTCACAGTCCTGGTGCCACAGGACTCCTCACCGCTGTTGCAGATTCAGACTAACATGGCTACCCCTCTGATACTTGTCTGATCCTGGTGACTTTTTACTGTTTATGAGTTTGTTCCAAAACCTTCTCTGACACTTCAATCTGGGACAGTTCCTCAGATGTGTTACCTCAGAAGAATAGCTCAGATTTGGGAATCTCTATCATATCCTCATCCATGAAGATGGATGCAAAGAAATAATTTAGTTTTTCCACAGTGGCCTTACCATCCATGAATGCTTTTTAGTATCTTGATCATCCAGAGGCCCCATTGATTGTTTAGTTGGCTTTTTTGCTTGTGATGGGGGAAAACATTTTTGCTAATACTTTTTGAATCTTTGACTAGCTGTTCTTCCAAGCCCTATGTGGCCTTTCTAATTATATTTTTACACTTTATTTGCAAGAGTTAATGCTCCTTTCTGGTCAAAATAATTACCACTATCTTTTGAACACAGTCTGTAAATTATGGTGTGATTCACCATCACACACATTTTGCATTAGTCATTTGTCATGCATTTTGCTTGTGTAGTCCATTGGTCAGTGGTTCTGTTGTTTTTTCCCCTTTGTGTCCATTCCACAGAAGACTTGAATCTGTCACAATTCAGCTTGAAAACCTGGCTCTTTAGCTCAAGCTGTGAAAAGGCTCGTGTTCTTAACTTGGGAGGCTCTCAGTTCAATTCCTTGTGTTGGCCAAGATGACAGCCACCATACGTGCAGGTGTGCTATCCACACTGACAATTCTGAAGGTTAAAGACATGCTTCATACTGAGATCAAAGGCCTACGGAAAGGATGTGTAGTGAGCCTGTCTATTAATGGGGATACTCTATGTCCTAGTAAAGAAGAGATGATTGAAGTTAATTAAGCACAGGTAGAAAATAAAGAGAAACACACTCAAATGTAATTGAATGGGATTCATTTTGATCACATGAAGGCAGATAACTAAAAATGACAAATTCTATAAGTGCTCATATAGAAATTGCATTAATGCCTGCAATTAACTCGGTCCAGGATTAATGCGTTAAATTTTTTATCACATTAATTGCAGGTGTTAATGTTGCGCTGCCCCTTTGAAGTGCCACTCTACATGTTTCAAAGGAGCAGTGGAGCCCAGGATCAGCTGGAGAGTCCCCAGCTGATCCTAGGCTCTGCGTAGCATTTCCCCAGAAAGTTCCAGGGCTGCTCTTTTTCAAATGTGTGTGGAGGCAGGGTTTGAAAGGGGTAGCCTTGGAGCCTGTGGTCAGCTGGGGATTCCCCAGCTGATCCCGGGCTCTGCGTGTCATTTCCCCAGAACATGGGGTCAACTAGGGAGTCCCCAGCTGATGCTGGGTTCCGCTATCATGCGAAGTCCAGGATAAGCTGGGAGCCCACAGTTGACCCCGGGTTCTGTTGCTGTGCAGAGCCCAGGATAAGCTGTGCAGTCCCCAGAGGCGGCATTTTAAAGGGACAGCCGTGAAGCCCAGGATCAGCTGGGGACTCCCAGCTAGCTAATTTTGGGCTCCTAATGTGCTGCCCCTTTGAGGCACTGGGGTAGCGTTTCCAAGGGGCAGTGCAAAGCGGAGCCTAGGATCAGCTGGGCACTCCAGCTGATCCTGGGCTCTGAGTTGCACTGCCCCTTTAATGCGTCACTGCGGTGCTTGAAAGAGGCACCGCAGCACGGAGCCAGGGGTCAGCTGAGAATTCCAGCTGACCCCGGGCTCTGCCTTCCGCTGCCCCTTGGAAACGTTGCCCCGGCACTTCAAAGGGGCAGTGCTGCATGGAGCCTGGGGTCAGCTGGGGATTCTAGCTGATCCTGGGCTCCACGCAGCACAGTCCCGTTGAAACCCTGCTGCGGCGTTTCAAAGGGAGGTGCATGCGATTAATCGTGATTAAATTTTTTAATCACTTGACAGCCCTAGTACAAATGCCAGAAAATACTGAGATCTGTGAACTTGAGTGCCTGTTACCAAATGAGGATAATGAGATCATAAACTTAGTGAAATAATGACAGCCAATGAGGGTCAGTAATTTGGGAGTACAAAAGAATGATGGAGTTGGTTGTGCTGGCAGGAGAAGGGTATTGTCTGTGAAAGAAAGCATAGAATCAAATATAATTTTAACTTAAACTGTACCATAGACTCCCTATGTATAGAAACTCCATGCTTGAGTAATAGGAGTATAACAGGAGGAATATACTGCTGACCAGGATGGCCATGGTGACTGTGACATGCTCGTGTTGATTATTGAGGCTGCAAAAACAAAACCAGTAATAATGGGGGATTGTAGCTATCCCTGTATTGACTGGTACGTGTCATCTCACGATGGGATACAGAGATTAAGTTTCTAATGACTGCTTTTGGAGCAGCTAGTCCTGGAACCCACAACAGTAGAGGCAATGTTTTATTTAGTCTTCTAACTAGGGCACAGGATCTGGTCCAACTAAATATAGCTAAACTGCTCAGTAATAGTGACCATAACATAACTGAATTTAAGATCCTTGTGGAGAGGAACATATCAGGAAAGCCCAATAACAGTAATATTTAACTTCACAAAGGGAAGCTACATAAAAGTGAAAGCGCTAATTCATGAAAATTAAATTGAATAGTCACAGCTGTGAAATGCTTGCAATCTGCATGGAAACATTTAAAAACACTATAGTAGAGACTTATTTAAGTGTAAACTCCAATTTAAAAAAAAAAATCAGTAAGGACACCAAAAAAAAAAAATTCCTGCTATGGCTAACAGAATAAATGGTGAAACTTAAAAAACAGCAAACAGACTAGTAGCAACTTAAAGACCAATAAAACATATAGATGGTATCATGAGCTTTCGTGGGCACAGCCCATTTCTTCGGATTACAGGTGTGTTAGAAGTCCAGATCCAAGAATAAATAAGGGAAGGGGAGAGGGGGCGAGGGGAGAGGGGGAAAAAAGGAGAGGAAGAAAAAAAGAAAGATAGTGAGTAAATAAAAGGTGGGTAGAGGCAAAAAAAAGTAATAATTGGAAGTCAAATCCTACTGAGGAAAACAGAAGAGAGCAGAAACTCAGGCAAGTCAAGTGACCAAAAAAAATTTCAAGAGCAACTAGCAAAAGACTCAAATAGCAGAAAAGAAAATTGAGTGCCTCAGAAGCAGAAAACTTGCCTGAGATGAAGTGTCAGTAGAGGTGGTTTTGGAACAAATTGATGAATTAAACAAATTGATGGCAGGACCAGTTGGCATTCATCCAAGAGTTCTAAAGAAACTCAGATTTAAAACTGCATACAGGCAGTCCCCGGGTTACGTACAAGATAGGGACTGTAGGTTTGTTCTTAAGTTGAATCTGTATGTAAGTCGGAACTGGCGTCCAGATTCAGCCACTGCTGAAACTGATCAGTTTCAACAGCGGCTGAATCTGGACACCAGTTCCAACTTACATACAGTTTCAACTTAAGAACCCCAGGCATCCCCAAGTCAGCTGCTGCTGAAACTGATCAGCAGCTGATTCCAGGAAGCCCAGGGCAGGGCGCTCCTCGGCGCTACTGGACCAACCCGGCAGCACCCCAGCTGCTCTGCCCCAGGTGTCCTGATTCAGCCGCTGCTGAAACTGATCAGCAGCGGCTGAATCAGGACTCCTGGGGC